GCATTATATAGTTAAGAGGATTAGCTAATGATGATACATCTTACACATAATATACTTTAGTTAATATATACACTAATCGGAAAACATTAAAACATTTAGCTAAATACCGCATGAAAAATTATTAGCAAGTAAATAATAATAATGGCATTTTGTAAGGCGCACGTATCCATCCCAGCAAGGCAATTCAACAGAAGGACGCACATCTCCGGACATCAAAGGTTATAACTCTGGCATCGACATTCTAGGCGCACGTGCGTCCCTACACGCTGAACGTCACAAAAACCATAGCAACCAGGGCATAAACCGTCAGCGTACGTGAAGATTTACTCACGCGCGTGTTAGTTTCCATGATAATCGCGCGTCATGCGGTGATTACAAAGGCCTAATGATATTTTGCACTAATATTAGACTGAAATTATAATTATTCTTCATTTCAACATTAATTTTACCAAAATTGTGGTGAATTGTCGTTTATGAGACTCACTTCGCAGAAAAAATTAATAAATGTTCTGTATATACTCAAATGTTCGTTCTCGGCACCTTATGCCAACACTGTCAAAATAACAGATTAATGTGACATAAGAACATGAAATTTTATAAGATTCGTAAATTTTGAATTGCTATAACTTTTCATTTTCTTGGTCAATTTTCACAAATGAAATTGCAATTTATAGAAGCATTTAACAAGCTCGCGGTCAACAAAAAATCATATGTAACAGGCATTGCGAATTACCCAAAATTAATAAAATAAAAACTAACACCATGAAACGAATGGCACGCATAGACTAATAATTGACGGCTACTCGCAACTAGTATCGGATTGTCGATGCCACAGTAAAGATCAAAGGACTGTACGCACACACTATGTTCGAGAGCGGAGATGTGCGTCCTTCTGTTGAATTACCTCGATCCCAGAGAGTTGTGCTCGCGGCACCATTTCCACTTGCAAAGAGCAACAGCCGTGTTGGTTAAATGTAACCAGAAGAGGAATCTAACGAAGACAAGAAAACACTTCAAACTTCACAAAAACTCTACGTGGCCCTGGACATTTGATTTTATGGTGAACTTCATACCACCAATGAAGATGATTTTTTTGGAATTTACTGAGTGACAGTTTACTTAACCATTTACAATATATTTTTTTATACATGTATGTCTGCGGTTAAGATATATTTTATCATTTAAAACTAGTACTTTTTTTACAATTCTTACGTTGGCAAAACGCTAGTTATTCTTTCAAGACATATACTAAATACATTGTTAATGTGCCATTGACATTGACATGCACATTTATGAATGAAGCTACTACACGGCCTAAAATATTGGCCGATTAGATCACAAAAACAATTTTTTTCATTTATGATACATCTTTTTGTCGTCGTTAGGCATTTTAATATATTTTTATATCAAATTCAAAATTAATCATCGATCATGTAATTAAAATTGCTATTATTAATCGAAATTCCGTCGTTCTACGTTGCCTAGAACCGGTTAAATTTAATTTTTAAATTAAAAATTTGATCGAATTTGGCGATAGAGGGCGGGCTTTTATACTATTTAACAGGCCACCATTTTGTTTTTACTAGTCAGATTTGTATTTTTTAAAATTTTTTCCAAATTCTTGATAATATATTCTTAATTATTATGTCAGTTTTTGTACGATCGAGTGATCCGTTGTCGAAATAGGTGTTTTCATTATTACGAAAACGAAAATAGTTTAGTTTGTTCTACATTAAGATTTTAAAATTAAGCAACAAAACATGTTTGGTAAACGGATAGCTTGATCGTAACAATTTTTTTTAAATAATTTAAGAAATAATATCTAGAATCGGAAAATGTTAAAAAAATACAAATCTGACTAGTAAAAACAAAATGGTGGCCTGTTAAATAGTATAAAAACCCGCCCTCTATCGCCAAATTTGATCAAAATTTTAATTAAAAAATTAAATTTTACCGGTTCTAGGCAACGTAGAACGACGGAATTTCGATTAATAATAGCAATTTTAATTACTTGATCCATGATTAATTTTGAATTTGATATAAAAATATATTAAAATGTTTAACGACGACAAAAAGATGTAGCATAAATGTTAACATTTCTTTTTGTGATCTAATTGACCAATATTTTAGGACATGTAGTAGTTTCATTCATAAATTTGCATGTTAGTGTCAATGGCACATTAACAGTGTATTTAGTATATGTCCTGAAAGAATAACTAGCTTTTTGCCAACGTAGAAATTGTGAAAAAATAGACTAGATTTAAATGATAAAATATATCTTAACCGCAGACATACATGTATAAAAAATTGTAAATGGTCAAGTAAACTGCCACTTAGTGAATTCCAAAAAAGTATGAAGATCACCAAAAAATGTCCAGGGCCAATTAGAGTTTTCGTGAAGTTTGAAGTGTTTTCTTGTCTTCGTTAGATTCCTCTTCTGGTTACATTTAACCAAAGGCTGTGACTCTTTGCAAGTGGAAATGGTGCCGCGAGCACAGCTCTCTGGGATGGATACGTGCGCCTTACAAGTTGTCATTATTATTATTATTTACTTGCTAATAATTTTTCATGCGGTATTTATAGCTAGATGTTTCAATGTTTTCCGATTTGTATATAGAATATATTATGTGTAAGATATGTCATCATTAGCTCCTCTTAACTATATAATACTTCGTCATACTTCACAATTTGGCCATTGATTGCGCTCCCTTATCACTGTTTATCTGTGCATATCCATTCAGCATTTATAATAGACCG